TCGGTGATCCGACAGTGATTCGCACTCCACGTCCGCCGCCCATTCCCGGAACATCCGGGCGGCCGGGGGGGTGGCCCATGTCAGGTCAATGACCGACTCGCCTCCCCCCGGCCGTTCGTAGGTGCTGGCGGATCCCTTTTTCATCAGGAGAAGGTCCAGTCCTGCCGCCCATTCGACCAAGACCCTGCTCCGAGGATCCCTCTGCCGAGGACTGCACCCCCACTCTTCCGAGTAGGCGTTGAGGTCCCCGGTAATGACCACAGGTCGGGGGTGGCACTGTCGTACCACATCCCCGACCCGGCCCAGGATCCTCGTAATGGGAACAGGATCTCCACGGCCCTCCCTATTTTGTCGGTGGGGGAGATATAACCCCACCACAGTAACAGACCCCCAATCAATCGACGGGGGTGAATAGGAACACCTCCGAGTCCCCTTCCTCGGAGAAAGCCAGGCCGTCCTCAGACCACTCCCTCGTTGGGGAGGAGACCGGTATTCTCCCTTCCGGAGTCGATATCCTGAGAGGCATCTCCCTCTGACTCCCTCGTCGCAGGGGAGGCCGGCCTGGCCCCCCTTCTCTGGGTCCTTCGTCGCGGCGGGGGGCCGATCCAGCCTCTCCCTTCTCGAAGTCCCCCTCGTTGAAGAGGGGGCATGGCCAGCTCCATACTTTGATGCGCAGGATTGGTTGCGCAACCTTGGGGGTTTGGGCCTCCCCCGCCTTTGTCCCTTCCGTTTTATTTGCGCTCTTTCCTCCCTGTTTTCTCCCCTCTTTTTCCTCTTCCATGAGGGGGGCTTGCAGGCAGGCCCCCCGATCTCGTGATCTGAGGGCCTACCTGCTTCTGCGCACACCAGGCAGTGTGCCTTTGCCTCGCAAGCCGCGGCACGGTGGCCGGGGTTACCGCAGCGGTAGCAACAACCGCACGGTACTCGTGCACCGCTCGCGCACATGTCCTCGCTCCAAACAGCGATAGCAAAGCTGTGCGTGGGCGGGCAGCGCCGCTACCCCGGCTCGGGTCCAACCCACGTGGACTCGCCCCGCTGCAATAACCTTTGCAGCCGCCGCCATCGGGCACTTTATCACGGCAGCTGCGGTCCCTCTCTGGGAGATGCTTATCCCGCCCATGGAGATATCTCCTGGCGAGCATCCCCCAGCTTGGGACACGGCGGCCGCCACTTCTTCGGCCCCGATCGTCGCATCCAGGCCGGTCAGTCGCACTGCAGCGATCTTGACCGGCCTTCGGATGCGATACTCGGGGCGAACTACTACGGGGGGAACTCCGCAAGCTGGTCGGCGGATGCCCCGCCCGGAGGCCAGGAACCTCCACCAGTAACCCTCCATTGAGGGACTGGCGGTTCCTGACGGAGCCGTCAATTCCGACGTCCGCCAGCCGGATGCGGTTCCTGGCTTCCGCCATAAAGTTTTTATACTCTCCGTGGGGGCAGGTAATAGCGACGGCCGCCGATCTCGGCGGCTTAGGCATCACCTGCCTGGCTGCTTTGCCCCCTTCCTGGGTGCAGAGGGTGGAGTGGAGGGGGAGGTCCGCTCTTCTTCTCCTCTTTCTGCTTCCTCTTCTCCTTCCTTCCCAAAACCTTTGACCACGGCTCCTCACCGCTGGTCTCCTTCATGAGAGGGAGGGGAGAGGAGCGATATTTGCCCCTTTCTTGCCGGTGGATGTCAGCGCCCTCCAGAGGGCCGACTGCGCCGGGTCCATTCTCGTCCCCCCAAGCTCCTTTGCCAGTATCCCCTTCACCGGCTCCTTCCTTGAAGATGAGGCTCCAGACCCCCGCTTGCCGCCTGCTGGGTGTGCTTGCGGCTGTCCGCTCCCCTGCTGCTTCCTCTTCTTCCCCTTCTTCTTCCCTTCTTCTTCTTTCCTCTTCACCTCCTTCTACACCGCCGTCAGCTCCCGTCCCTTCTCAGGGGCGGGGGACTGTCGCAGGGAAATCGGAGGTGACAACTTCGGGATCTCCTTCCCGAGGGTCGGCTCCGGCGTTTCCGATATCTCACCTGGCTTTGTCCTGAGGGTCTCCCTCTTCTCCAGAAAGCAGCCGATTCGCCAGGACAGCTCCTCGTATTCTGGCCGGCCCTCCTTCGTTCTTGCCCTCTCGTCCGCCAGCTTCAGGATCTGCCCAGTCAACCAGTTGTGGACTTCCACCTGTTCGGGGGTGAGAGCAGAGATGGCCATATAGTCGTCTAGCTCCTTCATCACACCGAGAAAAGCCGGCCTCCAGGCTGGTCTGGGAACCTCCTCCGGCAAGTTGTTAAAACTCGGCACCTCGCCGGAGAAGGCCCCAGCCTTTGAGCCCCCCCGATAAGCCGGAGGAGAAGGAGACCTGGGTCAAGATCCTCCTCCTTTTCCTCCTCCTCACTCTCTCCTTCCCTGACCCCGGTCCTGCGGCCTCTCCCGTCGATGTGCTCCCCCAGCTGCCTCGGCGTAGGTCTTCTTATGGGGAGTTGGGGGAGGGAGGGCGAGGGTGGCCCCGATGGAGGCCTTCGCGGCCTCAAGCTCCTCCTCGATTCGTCGGTATCGACCCTCTCCCTCCTAAGTTCTTCGTGGAGCTCCCCCAACTCCCTAGCGGTCTCCGACCCCGCTTCCTCCTTCCCATCCTCTGCTTTGGTCCTCACGACGAGTGTCCCCAGGATCAGCTCCGAGGTGACCAGGGTGCGGTTGATCAACCCGACGTATGTCCCTTTCAGGGTTTTAGACATGTGGGCTATAAGTCGGAATTTCCGAGCGCCCTACCCACCTCGGAAGTCAATTCGGACGAGGTAGCCTCCTTGATGACGACCCTACACATAGGGTCCCTATAGATCTCCTCAGCAGGGCGTCTGTCCTCCATAGAACGGAAGATTCACCTGCTAAGGAGACCCCGGGCCACCCGTCCGTTCCGGGCTAGCTCCTCTTCCTTCTCTTCTCCTTCTCCTTCTATTTTCTCTCCCGGATCCCAATTCCCTCTCCAGTTACCAGTGGCCTTGTTTCCCTCTTTCCGGCACCAGTGCCACCCCTACTATGGAGGACGATCCGCTGCTGGTGGTGGTCCTCCTTGGTCGCTTGGTCCTTCCACCGGAGCACCTGGAACCAGACGTCCCCCGCCGCCATCCTTTCCTCCTCTCTCATTGCCAGCTCCGCTGGCGACTCGAAAGGAGGACTCCAGCCTTTGCACTACAAACCGGAGCTGGGGACCGAGCATGACGTCCGAGCGGATCACGGACCCTTAGTCCGCCCAGATTTGCCCCCCTCCCCAGCCCGAGCCGCAGTGCTCTCCTTCACCCCCTGGTGGATGAGGGATCACTGTTTTGCCCTCCCTTCTTAGAAAGGGGGTGACACTTTTTTATTTTTTTTTACGAGGAGGAAATCCATCATGGATACCCTGACCCTCGGGGAAGGGCCAGGGTTATGCCGGACTCCTACCGGCTAAAACCTCCCGGGTGGCGCTGCGAAGGGACTGACCTCGGGGCCCCGGAGCCGCGTAACTGCTTATCGGGGCCCCGAGTCCAGGCATATGCCTTCTGTCCCTGAGGGCCGGGGTGGGCGAGGGGGGAAGCCAACCCAAAGATTCGCTTCAACCACCGCTCCCCCAGGGGAGGGGGAAGCCAGCCCAAGGGCTCGCTTCGACCACCGCTCCCCTTTCCGTCCCTCACGCCTCATCTCTTCGGTCAGGAAGGGGGAAGCCGGCCGAAGCCCGCTTCGACCACCGTTCCTGACCAGATGAGGCGCCGCCAGTACATGTTGTGTGGCTGACTGACCCACCGTATCAGCCAGCCACCCTACGTTGGGAGGCCTGGTTGGGGCACCGGGAGTCCCCGCCCGGTGCCCCACCCTCCCGCCCGGCGGTTACGGGGGGAAAAAACTCCCCTAGCCGCCGGGCTCTTCTCACCTCCGCGGAGGAATGGGATGGGCGGTCCTAGCGACCCCCCTCCCGCATATCCGAATTACTTCGGATTTGCGGTTTGGGGGGAGGGGTGTTTTGTTCTATGATGATTAATCACCATCGACACCCTCTCCCCCCCTTATTTTCATCCGACTCACTTTTTGAGGGGAGCCGGTGGTCTGCGGGTGTAGGGCCTTGGCCTAAACCGGGCCCTCCATCCGCCTCTCTCTCCCATTGCTGCCGTAAGAGGGGTAGCAGGGAGTGGCGGTGGTAGTGTCCCCGCCATCGTCATCACGGGGGGGCGGTCAGCAACCCTGCCGCCATCATCAGGGGTCAGCCGTTGCAATACCACCACCGCCACCCCCCTGTTTCCATCTGTCCTTTGCCTTTGGACTTTGTTGGGGGCATTTAGTCCCCCATGAGTCCTTCCCACTGGTACCGGAGGGGGAGCAGGAGGAGGAGTGGGGGGAGGAGGTGGTGGAGCCACCATCCTCCTAATGGCCTCCTCCTCAGAGGAGTCCGCGTCCCCCTCTCTGCTTCTGCTCCTCCCTCCTCTCCATGTTCGTTGCCTCTCTCTCCTCTTTCTCTTTCTCCTTTGCCCTTCCGCTCTGCGGCGGACCTCCTCAGCCTTCTCCTTCTGCGTTATTATCGATTCGCAGAAGGAGGAGAACACATTCCACTTCTTCTCACTCCCCACTATGGCCCCGACTATTGTGGGGAGCGAGAGGTCATTACCCAGTTCTCTGATCACGACTCCGCGCTGCTCGCTCCAGGCGGGGCAATCCTGGAGCGTATGTTGCGCGGAGTCGCGATCGTTGTCACAGTGGTGGCAGCACGTTGTGCGCTCCTTTCCGATTCGGCATAGGTACTCACCGAAACATCCGTATCCGGTGAACACCTGTGCCATCCTGAACGACAGGGTCCCGAATGCCCTGCCCACCCACTCTTGCAGGCAGGGCTGGACGGCCTCGACTGTCCTCCTCCCGTATCTGGCATTCGCCAGAATCCTTTGCCATTTCTGGAGGAGAACTAGTCGAGCCTGGTGCTTCATCTTTCTCAGTGCTCCGGCGAGCGATTCTCCCGCCCCCCTGTTTGCAGGAGCTCACGCTTCCTGACATACATGTATCTGTATGTCAGCGCGAGGAGCTCCAGGGGGGCATGCTCGCCAGAGCCTCCGCCGCCACGCAGGAGACCGTACGGTAGCATCTAGCGACCCTGACCGCCTGCGTCCTGTGCACCTTGCGCAGTTGCGCCTGCATCGGACGACTGACGGCCAGGGCCTCCGCCCATACCGGCGCTCCGTACAACGCCACGGAATTTAGCACTCCTGCGTGGAGGCGGCGGGCCTTTCCGTCCGGTCCCCCGACATTGGGCATAAGTCTGCCCAATCTATTAGACACTGCTCTTAGTCGGGAGACCAGACGATTGACATGCCCCCTGAAGCACCAGGTGCCGTCCAAAATGAGGCCCAGATAATTCATCTGGGCCTCTATCGGGACCCTGGTCGTTCCCACCTTTATCTGAGCCTGGGATGGCTTTCTACCCTTGTCGTGGAAAAAGATCGCCTCGGTTTTCTTCTCCGCCACCACCAGGCCCAGATTACGAATGGCGCACACAACGCCTGCCACCGCTTGGTTGGCCGTCACCACGGCTTCCCCCCAGTCTTTCCCCCCGGCCAAGATGAGAGTGTCATCTGCGTAGCAGATAATGCTACAGCCGGGGGGGAGGGCTACTCGGAGGACTGAGTTGTATGCGAGGTTCCACAGTAGCGGACCCAACACTGAGCCCTGTGGAACCCCGCAACTTATCCCCCTCTCGCGTACCTTGCCGTCGGCGTCCATCCAACTTAGACGCCGACCCCGGAAGTAATCCTTCACGACGGCCGTGAGGTAGGGTGGAAAGCAGAAATACTCCCGCATAGCTTTCACCACCCCACCCCAGGGCAGGGTGTTGAATGCGTTGGCGATATCCAAGGATACCGCCACCGCCACCCTGCCCTCCATCACTATGGCCTCCGAGAGGGCTTTCAGATGCAATATAGCATCCACTGTGGATCTGCCCTCTCGGAAGCCGTATTGGCCGTCGTGAAGACTCGATCCCTTCCGGGACATATGCTCCGTGAGGCGGGCAGCTATAACACGCTCGAAGAGCTTACCCGCCTCATCCAGGAGGCATATGGGCCGGTACGCGGAGGGGGAGTCCTCCGGTTTGCCCTCTTTTCGGAGGAGGACCACATTGGCCCTCCCCCAGACTGGGGGCAACCTACCTTTCCTTAGTGCCTGTGAGAACAGGTCCGCAAATCTTTGGTTCATGAACCCCGAGGCTAGGGTGAGAACCCGTCCGGGGATACCATCCGGTCCCGGAGCCTTACGGCTCTTGACCTTTTTGATAGCCCCGGCCACCTCCTCCTCTGTGACCCCCGGCACCTCCCCCTGTTGATCAGGGGTGAGAGCAATATACGGGCCAATGGGGTCTCCTCTCCCAACCTGGAAGAGTGACCCCATAACCCGCTCCAGGAACCGGGGGTCAAGCGTCACCGTCAACGGGGGCGTCCATGGCTTGAGTTTTTGCATAACTATCCTGTATGGACGCCCCCACGGATCCGCATCCAGTGAGAGGAGGAGGGTGTCCCACCCTTTTCCTCTGGCCGCTCCTATGGCCTCTCTCAGGGCCTTTACTGCTACGCAGAAGTCTTTCTGGGCGGCCAGAACAGCCTCGGAGTCCGAATCCGGGTCATTCCTGACCCGCCCGAAAGCCCTCCTGAGGTGGACCGACTCACGCCTCAGGTCTGCGATTTGGTCGGTCCACAACCAGGCGGACCTCTTTGGGTAGGACCTGACCCTGGGCATGGAGGCATCGCACGCCTGTGCGAGTATGCTCATTACCTCCATGACCTCAGAGTCAAGGTCCTGCCCTTCCCTCCATTGTGGCCAGGTGGAGCCCTCTAAGGAGATTTCCAGTGCCTCCCTATCCAATTGGGCTAAGGCCCATCTCACTGGTCGGGGTTCATCCTTTTGATCCTTTTTACTGGGCCGCAGGCCATTGGGGTGACGGACAGCTCCATCTCTATCAGGAGATGGTCCGACAACGTCTCCAGTTCGTCCGCCACCCTCCAGGTCTGCACCCTTCCCAGGGCCGCAGGGATTGCCCACTATAAATCAATAATTGATTCCCCCTGCGACCCCACGAATGTGGACTTCTTGCCCTTGTTTAAAAGGTGCAAACCCAGGCCCGCGGCCCAGTTTTCGACCTCCTCCCCCCGCCCGTCACCCCGCCGGGAACCCCACAGTTCCGACTTCGCATTGAAGTCCCCGACGACGATGACGGGCCCTGGGAGGTACCTTTTGATAGTCCCTCCCATATCTTGTAGCCTGGATCTAAATGTAAACAGATTCAGGCTCCCTGCTGGGGGGAGATATACCCCGACCACAGTGATAACGCCCCACAACTGGCCACAACAAAACCTTTCCCGCTATCCAAAAAAGTAGCGGGAGGTGATTTTTCACTCACCCTCCATACTACCGCGACAGAGCCCAACTTATCTCCGAACCACCTAGGGTGGTTCTTTGGGACATGGTTGGGCTCTGCCGCTATGCCAAAACCTGCACCGCGCTCTGTCATTGTATGCTCAAACAAAGGCTGAGCCTGACGAGCGCGGTGCAGGTTCGATTGGAGCAGTCGGGTGGCCATTATTCAACTGTTGGGTTGACAATTACCTTCCCACCCGGCTGCTCCCTTTCGTCACTCTCGTTTACTTCTTTTGGGCGAGGACGCTTCTCCCCTCTTCTGTCCACGTCCATCTCCTCCACCTTTTCCAACTTGTCCTCAGAGGGGACGATTGGGCATGCTGAAGAAGGTGGGGTTACCATCCCCTTTACTACACCCTTCTCTTGCCTTTTTTTCTCCGCTTTCTCTTCTAGGGGAGCATGGGGCGTGGATGGCCTCGGTGCGGACGCCTGCCCCATCTCCTCCTGCTTCCCCTTAGTCTTCCTTTTCTTAGGGGAGTGACATGCAGGTCCCCCATCCTATGATCCCTGCCTCTGCGCAAATTTGACACCTTACTCTCTTTTCGCAATCGGGAGCCAGGTGTCCATATTCTCCGCATCTATAACAGTTTCCTCTCCGACTTGTTTCATTTGTGTTTCAGTTGTATTGCACGTGTCCTTTCTCCATACATCTGTAACATTGCATCGGTCTTGCCATCAGCAACTCCACTTTTACCTGCGTCCATCCTATAGCGATGACTGCTTTTTCGGCAGCTTTCTTTGCCGCTAAAAGGGGGCATTGCATCCATAAGGATCGAACCCCTCCTTGTGTGGTTCTTATTTTCCCTGCCTTTGTGTCTGCTATTTCGCATTCACCAATCTCTGCTATTTTCCTTCTAGCTTCTTCTTCGTCTGTTGAGATCTCCAGTCCCCTTAGACGAATTTCTCCCATTTTCTGGGGGCGATTTATCTTTGCCTTATCAGCCAGAACATCCCTCAGTTTTTCTGCCAATGTATCGGCCTTGGCTCCCCTGTCCTCCCCTGGTATCTCCAGAATCAGTGCACCTGTTGCACCAATTCGGGTTTCAATTTTTGGGATCCCCAGGTCGTCAAGATCAATTTTTCTTTTTGCCTCCGCCAGGAGTTTTCTGTACTGCCCCTTGTCAGCGGTGATTGATACCGCGGCAGTACTGGGAACCTTCCTTTTTATTTTAGCTCCTCCTACTCCATTGTTGATTCCTTTCCTTGCCTCTTTCTTGATCCTCCTTTCCTGTTCTTCCTTCTTTTCTGCTCTTTTCCCCCTCCTTCCAACTACTTGGGCCCAAGTTTCCTGGGTGGTTGACATATCCGTTTCCTGTTCTGTCATTTTCATAGTCGGGTGTTCAGTCCTCTGAGGTAGCGGTGTCTGCATTTCTGCTGACCTATTCTTACTTCCCAGAGCTTGTTTTGTTGACTGATCCCTTGTTATTTTTCCACTCCCTTTCTTTTTCTTCTTTCCTTTGCTTGGATTTCCTTCCGGCCCCCGTTTTGGTGGTATGTTATCTTGTCTTGCATATTCATTCATGGCTTTAAGTACCATGGCGGTGATTTTTCCTTCCAAGTTCTCCTCTTCCCTTCTTTCCGGTCTTTCTTTTCTTTCTAGCCTCGCTTTTGTATTAAAGATAATGTTTTCCTCCATTTTGGGGCCCTCTTTCTTTTATTTTGTGACCCTGTTTTCTTCCTTAATGGGGTGTATTTTATTAGTCCTTATGAGGCCCTTCTGGACTTCAATTACCCCTATTGTCTTTTCCTCTTCTTCTTCTAGATCTGCCAATGGGGGCGAGATCCTTTCTCTTGCATAACTTTCTCCTATTTCCATTTCCTCAACATTGGTTGGAGGCGGGGGGATCACCGCTGCAGGCAGCGGTGTCCCCCTTAAACTCCAACCACTGTTTCCTTGGTACTCCGGAGGCGGGGAGGACACCATCGTTGTCGGCGGTGCTTCCCTTAAACGTAGAGTACATCTCATTTCCTCCATTTCTTTCCTCATTTCCTCCATTTCAGTTTTTAATTTTTTGTTTTCATTTCTCAGATCCTTTATTATGTCCAGGTATTCTCCACTCTTTTCACTGGCTATTTTCTTAGACATTATGTTTGCCTCTGCTGTTATTGCAGCAGATGCATCCCTGAGCGTTTTGACATGTGTCCCCTTTAAGTTCTTAGATTTTACAGAGAACCCTAAGATCTTCATTGATGCTTCCAACACCGATGCAGTTACATCTCTGAAGGGGGCTTCCTCCCAGTGCTCCGTTAATCTCGCAAGTTCTGCTTTATACTTGCGATCTTGTGAGCAGTCCCGGAATTCTTCGGATGGATTTTGCAAGGCCTTCATGAGCTTATCCTCTTTTACCTTTTCCAGGTATATTTCTCTTTTTTCTATGAATTCCTTTTTCTTCCTATACTCTCCTGTCGTTTCCCTCCTTCCTCTTCCACGAGTTACTTTCTCTAAGAAAAGTTCCTCCTCCGTTTCCCTGTTTTCTTTTCTGGGAATATCCCATTTCCCTTCCTTTTTTACCTTCTTTTCTTGCTGTCCATCCGTTGATCCATAATCTGATGAGGACCCATCTCTCTCCATGGAGGATCTTGATCGTGATCTTGATCTTGGATCATCTGCTCCTTTGTCGCGCTGAGACCTGGCGCTTCGGAGGCCTTCCTTTCTGACCACCCGGCTGATGCCAGGCTGGTCTTCTGAGGCAACATTCGTTGCCTTCTCTCTCCTGAAGCTACGGAGAGCTACCACCTTGCTCATATCCTTTTTCGATGCCTGGGTCGTCTTAATGTATTCCGTGTCCGATGGGTCCATGTATGAAGAAGAAGAATCAGTAGTCATTTTTGGTTTCAAACCCAAAACCCTGCACGGTTCGGGTGCCCGGGCATGCCCGCATCCCCCGGGAAGGGGGAGCCTCCGAGTTCCCCCAGAGGAGCACCATATGGCACAGGCCAACGGAATGTTACATCGTCGGCACTGACCTCCCGCCCCCTACACGCGCCCTGACACCATTTCTGGTGGCCCGACCGCTTTCGGGGGTCCCGCACCTCCGACAATGCGGGCATCGTGCAGAGCGCCGCCACGCGGGGGGACCCATGGAAGGAGGTAGTTCACCGGTGTCGCACCCCACCGGGAACGCCTCCCCCATGGCAGCCAGCGTGTTCGCGCCGCCCGAGGGTCCGCTTTAGGGTGATGCGATCGCATTCCCGGGCACAGCACATAGGGGCTCTGGCCTGCCTCGGAATACGTCCGAGCGGCCCGGAGCACCCCTCCACCCCCCGGGTACCGTGAGGGGTTCCAAACCCTAACGGTGTGCAGACCCGGGTGTAAGGGGGCGACCCTAACAACGCCCGGTACCCCACTCGCGTGGGGACCCCGGGGGCATACGTCCCGCGTTGGGTGGCCGCCCTCATAATCCGACGGGCTCACCGTGCTAGCCCGCGGTCAGGACAGCACTCCTGGCTCCGAGCCAGGGAAAGTCGTGGCCCACTCTCAATAGACGGCCCCTCGGCCACTACTCCACCGAGGTCCGCCGCAACAACCTCTCCGGGGGGAGCCATGCGCCTGTCTCCTGACCACTCGCCACCACCGCGTGTCCACCAGCCGTTCCGTAAAAATCACTCGAAGGTGGTAGGCCCATGGACGGGTTGCTACACCCATCCGTTAGGACCCTTGAGTCCGAAGACTCGGGGTTGGAGTTTTTTAAATTTGCGGTCTTCATTTGGTTCCGACGAGTACGGCAGGAAGGAGTCGTCGATCCCGGGTAGAGCCCCCGTACTACCCAGGACAAGGCTAGCGTATCCCCGTGGTGCGCCATGTTCCACGAGTGAGGAACCACTAACGACAAGTCACGCACCTGCCATTCATCCCATAAGCGTGGCATGCCTCAACCGTAGGATTACGTGGTATTTTATAGAGGACCCGCCTCACGGTCCGGCCAATAAAGGCAAGACCCCAGCCCCAGAGACATGACCTAGGGTTACGGTGTGATAGGCTGGGGTCTGACAGGGTTCGCCTGAATCCCCCGTACCAGGGTGCCGAAGCACCCTGGCCCCTCGCAAATGTGTGGGGTTATACGTGCCTCACAACTACGGGTTTGAATTCAGGGTTTTCCTTTCCCTAGACCGGTTGCCTTCACCCGGCTCACGAGCTCTGCTCGCGCTGTAGGGACCTTTGGATCGTACGAATACAGTCCTCCGGTCCTTAATAAAACTTGGAGGCAGCTGCTCCTCCAAGAGTGTTACGGACGCTCTTAGTCCCTCCGTACAGGCCACCTCGGCATGGTAGAACCTGCCAGGGGTCGAAATCCCCGCCGGTACAGCCCTGTACGTCATTGGGACACGCAAGTTCCTCCACCACGTCAAGGTGGCGTCCACGG